TCTGATTAAAATCCCTTTTTAACTAGTTCTGTAGTAAATCTTAATACAGTGCTTCCAGTTACTGCCTTTTCTTCTCATGAGTTTGATTTGTTTTTTTAATTCCCTAGGCCAGTCAAGCAGCTCTCTTTTTCCACTCTGAAACCAGCCTCCTACATGTAAATATGATCTAGAAACACGATTAAATGCCAGTGGGGGAAATAAAACAGAAAAAAAAAAAAATTTTCAGCATTTCCTGGAACTGAACAGAAATCTGGTCAAGACACCTAAACCCTCCAGGGCAGACCAGTTATATTAATTTATTCTGGCTTAGTACAGAGGTGATTCTTCAAATCATTTTTCTCAGAGCCCCAGCCATGAATTGAGCAGTGTAAGAGTGCAGTAAATGTGGACATCAGCACTCCCCGAGCCTCAGGGCAAACCCAGCCCCCTGTGCCACTCTGAACATCAGCATCTCTGAATTAAGAGTTTCCCACTGCTCCCCCAGCACATGAATTTTTAAGGGTCAACCTTTCTCCTCCCAGCTCTAGAATCGCAGAAACCATAAAATGAAAATCACAGTGGAGCCTCACAGGGCTCACGTCCCATCTCCCCACAGAGCACTCAGGGAAAATCCACAGCACTGTGGAGAGAGGGAAACCCCAAGAAAAAAAAATCTGAATTTCTTCTATTGGCAGCCCCTGGCAGCCGTTCCCATCACCACACCCAAACCCTGCCCTGTTACGGAGTTATTTGTCCCTTGTCACAAACTGCCCCAAAGAGACCTGGGCACAGTTTAAGGGACAAAAAAATACTCAAAGATTGTGCTTTAAAGACCTTCAACACTTCAGTTCTTTCCCAAATTCCAAATTAAGAGGTGCAGAATTCAACACAAAACATCTCCCTGAAAAACAGAATCATGATTTCTGTCGTATCTCTGCTTTGTACCAGGGGTGCACAGGGGGCCAGCAGGGAATTTATGATGAACTGAAAATCCTGCTTCAGTTTCCTCTGAACCACTGTCTTCATGATCATATTGATTTATTTTTGCTTTTTTGTGATTTTTTTCTTCCTCTCACCAGTGATTTTTTGTTGTTTTAATAAATTATGTCTTAACACATAAAAAAAATCTGAAATATTGATCACACTGATTTACTTTTATTTTTGCTCTCTTATTATTTTTTCCTCCTCTCAAGAGTGATTTTTTTGTTGTTGTTTTAATAAATTATATCTTAACACATAGAAAAAAATGTGAAATATTGTACTCCAGAATTGCATTATCCCAATATCCAACCCACTGATGAAAACACCCAACTCCTGCAGCATCCCACAGAACCTCACAGTTGTTCACATTCCCACTGAGCTTTCAAATGTGCTTAAGATAATAAAGCTCCCAAAGAAATTTCAGTATCAAGAGGATAATTGACTTGGAAATTGCAGTATGTCACCTTTGACATCCCTGGGTTCAGTTACCCTGCAATGATGAGAGGGTAAAAAAAAATTTGCTGTTTGATTTTATGTAAGGACACATCTGGATCTTCCCATCCATTCTCTCCAAGGTGCTTAAAGGAGAAAGACACACCAAGTAAAGTCAGATTTTAAATCCTTTCATTGTTGAATCACTCACTCTAATTCAAATGATTTTCACTTTATAATTTCTATTTATTTTGCTCATAATCCTCCCTTGGATTCTCTATTATTATAATCTGAAAGGGAAATAGTGCTGATCCAGAGGCCATGCTCTGTGAGTTCTTGTGCACTCAAAGTCTTATAAACTTCTACTGAAACACAAAATACAGTCAAACACTATTTTAAATTAATGCTTGCGTTTTTTTAATTACATGCAGCATGTAATTAGGAACATTTTAATATATAACAAAGACACCTTCTGGTCACTGAATTCCATTAACAAAGAAAACAAATATTTAACTCCATTTTTCAATAAACTAACCCATTATCCCTCAATATTGCACACATCTTAACAAAGCTCATTGCAGCAGCACTCCATTTCTGAGCCTGCTCTTACATTTCCACACTGATTTACCAAAGTTTTAAGTATTTCATGTATGACTTAAGACAGTTTTAAGAACATCAAGCATCTTCCCAAAGCAAGCACCTGAACTGGAGTTGAGGCTTCCTGTGACTCTGAGGGCAGCAGCAGCAGGAGCAGGAGTTAAATTCCCCTCAGCACCACCATAAAGGGGTGGCCATAAAGAGAAAATGAATAATTTCTGCTGAGAGCTGTCAGACAGCAGGAAAACAACTTCCTGAGCTGCTTTTTGCTAAGAAACCAGAGCTCACACCCTGCCAAGTAATAAGGAAATGCACAATTTTTTGATTGTGTGACTTCTTGTTTCACTGAAACAGGATATTGCTCCCCAGACACCACCACTGCAATGGATGAGCACTTTATTCCCAAGTATTATTTTCCTTTTGGCACAAACAGACATTTCAACCTCACATTTCAGCTACTCTGAGTAAAACAAGAAGAGACTCATTCTAAGCTTTCCTCTTTTACACTCACCTTTATTAAGGCATTATTTTGCAAGGACTGCCTCATTTATATTAAAAGTACAGGGCACCGTAATTTAACATTATTCTGATACACAACAATTATTATTATATAATGATTGTAATTATTATAATTATTGCTCTGGAAAATGAATTTTATTAATGACAGTATTAGTCTTACGATTAATGGAAAGGTAACACTGGAGCACTTGAGTACACAAATTAATTGTGCACCTGCACAAAGTAATTTAGAAAAGGATGGTTTAATATTTAAAAATCTGCTAAATGTTATGTTAAGCTTTATAGCACACTACATTTCAGAACAAAGCTTGCAGCAACTGGGAGAGGAATCAGCTGCTGAATTGTAAAAGGGTTGAAATTACAGTCAAACATTTCAGTAAATTAAAGTATAATATTCTACAATCCTCTTTGTGTAATAGTACCCACTAATGTAGCACAGTTTTAATAAAACATATTTATTTTCTGATTGCTCTTAATCTTCAAACTGTTTTTCAGCTATTGCTGCTGTGTAAATATTGAATTTGATCATTTGGTAACCCAAATAGAGGAACGAGACATTAGGCTGATTTATTTAATCACTGAGCCCAAACCCCAAATCACAAAATGCAGCCAGCAATATTAAAGACCATTAACAACCTGTCACAGACTCTGTCACCATGAAAAGAGTCTCAGTAAAATTAAATGGTGTCACACACAAATGTGTGTTCTCATTTCTGAACTTCAGGTGAACAACCCCAAAGAATCATCTTATTAAAAAAATAAATAATCAAGAACACTTTTAAGAGCCAAACCGTTCATTATGGACACAGCAGAGCCACTCATGAGTGTCACCTCTCAATCAAGAATAACTTCCACTAATATCCTACATCACAAGTGAGCACTAAGCTCAAACCAGATTTGGGTTATTCTCTTTGTGGTTTTAGGACTGACCAAAGTAAATCAGAAATGATTTTCTGATTTAAAAAGGTAGGTATACAGTTCATACCTACAAATCATTGCTTGTAGGAATGAACTATACTCAGAGAACGAGGAATTCAGCAGATATTCTTTAATTGTCCAGACTTTTGCTGAAATTGTGGCCCCTTTGGGCCCAACAGAGGTTTTGCCACCAGCAATCTGCAGCCAGATGAGGGGTGAGAACATCACCCGTGCAGGGCTGACCTGGGTTTCAGCCTCTCTGCAGCTCAAGGCACTCAAATACACAACTCCCAAATTCCAAAAGCCTGCTTAGCTGTTAACTACATTTACAGAGCCAAATGCCCCACTGCAAAGCTTAAAGAAACCAGGAACTTTCAGAAAAGCAAAGGTATGAAGAACAATTTTGGTTTCTTGCTCTTGCCTCACCCATGTTTTATTGGTAAGGTCTGTATCAGCTAAACAAGAGATACTCAACACTCCTAACTTAATTACACTTCTAACTTTAGCATTTTTCTTCTGCACCTAAATATAAATTATGTGAAATGTATTAAAATGGAAGTTATAAAAATTCTTCTCAGCTCTTCAACATTTCCCCATATTTAAATTTTAAAATGAGAGAACTTTTTAATATCTGAAATTTTCCAAGACCCCTTGTGGCTTCTGCCCATATATTGTTCACTGACCTCCTGGCTGGCATATTGAAACAATTCATGAGAAGCTCATTAAAAGCTAGCAGGAAAATTCTTTTGGTGCACTTTATCAGAGGAGATAATAGCCTACAATCTAGAGCATGAATATGTGATAAGAAACAAAACAAAGCCATTCAGACAAAGAACACTTGGAATGCATTGTTCCCATAAGCAGATGTTAAATTACTTCACTGTAAAGTGGGATTTCTAAAACCCAAAGAAATGTTATTTTTATGTGAACAAACGAGATCAGTTTATTATTTCAGCAGGGTGACACAAAGATCCTGCACATGTGTCTCACCAGGCAGGCAGATGTGTGGGGAGGAAAACTGCTTGTGGACCAAAAATGCCACAGAAGTACTGACAGAGGAGGATGGAATGGGAGTGTCCAGACTCCTAGACTAGCTCAAACATGAAAATAAAATAAAAACCCACTAAGCCAGCTGGCTCAAGACTAAATTGTCATTTAACTGGAGCTACAGATCTTTGTGTGCAGTGAGACAAGGACCAGAGACAGCTCAAAAGATACACTTTGAGATAAGATAGATACTAAGAAATCTCAGAGAAAGCTTCAGCCTTTCTGGGAACTGTTAATGTCAAATACACCCAACATAAAGCAAAGAAAATAAAATGCTGATTCATGGCTGGGTGAACGCCTCAGGGTTGTCACATTCTGAGGATATTGTTCTTGGTCACACACTCAAGCTTACTGCTCTTACCAAAAATGGATTTTTCAGTCCATAAATGTTCACTTCACAACTGTAAAACCCACTTGGACTCAATTATCTGTCGTGAAGAACCCATTGATCCTGTTTGTAATCCACTCTCATGGGTGTAACAAGATAAATCTGTGTACAGCAGGGTCTGAAAAGCCAATGTACTCACATCAGTGTCAGGCCCCTTGTCAGCCCCAGGACAGGAGAAGGTAACGAATTCATGGCACCTCTTGTGAACCACAAAACAGCAAACTGGCAAAAAAAAAAAAAGGGGAAACAACAGTTAGAGTGGTTGGTGGTGGTGTTCCTTTTGTTATTTTGGAACAAATATAAAATAAAACCTAAATATTTCAGCTGCAAGTCAAGGAAAGCAAGCAGAGTCCCATGTAAAATAAAGACACAAGACACCAAGCAAACACTGTGATTAAAGAGGAGATAAGCATTCACATTTAAAAGCCAGGAGACTCCACACAATGATAAATCTTTAACGCTGGAGACAGCCCACAGTGCTCAAATACAGCGTGGGATGAGCAGTTCCACAAAGCCACATTTCCTGAATCTCAATCCTGCTCTGTCACAGAACTGTCAATGTGCACCCAGGAGGGATGTGAGGGATGTGCAGCTGGAATGAAACCCATCCTTGGGTGTGGGATTTGTTCCCCTGCATGCCTGGGGAAGGGCTCTACAAAAATCCAAATCTTGCCCAGTTTAATTACTTCTGTGAGGGACCAGAGCTCTCTGTGAGTGCGGCTGTTCTGCAGAACAAAGTGTTCTCATAGCACAGAATGGCAGGAGATAATGGGAAAAGAAAATTAGCTCCTGATTGCAATGTGAAGCCCATTTAAAATTTATGAATGATCTCAAAGAACTTTTTCTTTCTGAGATAAAAAAGTTCCTGACATGGGATGGAGGCCATAGGTTGTCACACAGGTCCCTCCAAACCACAGCAAAAGAACTATTTCCTTGAGGGTCCTTATTTTAAAAGTATGAATTCCAGTTTTCACTCCCACTATGGGCTCTTTCACCATATTAAACTTAGTTCAGATATTTTGAAATTGGTCCACATTTCAACAAAACAGATAATCAAGATTTGGGATTGCAAAAAGCTTGTAATAAACACCATGCCATCAAGCAGTGATTCAGGAGACTATAATGAAATGATTTAAAAGTAATTCACAGCTTGTTTATAGGTAATGCATTTTCTGTATACTTGAAATTTTGCATTTCCAACACATAAAACCACACTATTCCCCAAATCTCAAGAATAAAATAGAGTTAAATTGCTTTACAACAGCAAACATTAAATTTCCTCAACTTCACAGGAAAACAAATTATCTAAATTGTTCTAAAGAGCTCATTGCACGAGGAAACTTTAACCCTTCTCTTTCCCATTTAAAACAGCCATGAATTTATCTCATGAATAAATAAAAAAGAGAGCTGTGCCCAGGTGCACCTGCAGGTCACTGCAGACACAGCCCTGATCCCATTAACGCCAGCCTGGCCTCATCCGCAGCCCTAAGTCTGCCTTTAAATTCTAATCACCCTCCTCTCCCTCCCAGCTATTTTTCATCAGGACCCCATGCAGAACTTGCTTCCAACTGCTCTATTTCCGACGTGGCATATGTTCATTCTTTGGGCAAAGGGAATAAAGTGGGTTTTGCTCCACTGAGTCCAGATTAGCTCTGCTGACTCCACTTGAGCCACAGTAGCTGCTGCCCACTTGGTTGTCTAGTTTGTTAATCAACCTAAATCCCAGTGAATCCTGCAATTATCATTTTGATGGTTTGTTTTCTACCAACTGAAACATCACTAAGTGGCAATTACCACTAACATTCCTTGCAGCTGAGTCATATCTTACTTTCAGATTATATTTTTGGTTCCACATCTCCCAGTCTTGAGGACAATAGACTGATTTGTGTTTTCAGTAATAAACCACATGCAAAAAAATTTAAAATTTTAAATCTTGGTATATCCTTCAGAAAATAAAGAAGTTAACTAATTATTTTTGCAAAAGTTGCAAAGTATAATATGATGATCTGAGACATAACATGGGAATATCTGGAAATTTGTAGAAAAGAAATTTATTTCACCAATGCTTGCCATTCCGATTCAGACCTTGGAGTGGCTGTTCCAGCTCTGCCTTTATTCAGCAATTTGTGTATAAGGAAAACTGCATATCTGGGCATCTGCTTTGGGCAGAATTTCTGAAACACCACAGCCACGTCCTATCTCTGAGCTGACAGCTCCTCAGAGCTCAATGTGAAGGAATTCATCCAACCAGAGACAATGCTGACCTTGTTTCTAATATGATTTAAGCACTGAGATAAAGACATGGGAAGAGGAGTGCCACTGTTTGCTGCAGCCTGTGAACTTTAGCTGTGAACTTCCCTGGAAACAATGCTCATCATCACACTGCCATGGAAAGGACAATTCAGCTGCCAGAGAAAGCAAACCACAGAGGATCTGTCCTTTTGGACTTGGGCTACACCTCAACACTGTGTGATAATGCTTTGATTATCAGTGTTGGTCACTGAAATCTCAAAACTGAATTTGTGTTCAGCTTATAACAGATTTTGATAGGAGCTGATGTGGGCAACTCAACACGGACAGCCTTGATTCTTTTTCCTTTATTTCCCATTTGTAGTGGGTGACTTATCTCCAAAGAGCCTTAACAGGTGATCTAAAAGCATCAGACCTGTCTCACCTTTTGAGAATACTCAAAAGAGAACCAAACAGTTCCACACAGAAATAACCAATACAACAAGCACCTTTCATGGAATCATAAACCCAAAGGGAAAAGAACAAGTGTCAACTGAAATCCATCTGACAGCCATCATTTCTGTACATATAATTTAACATCTCAATTTTTAAGTTGAAATCCAGCCATTGGACTGTATTTTAGCATTTTTAAAGTGTTTTCTTAATTTCATGGAGCAACACAGATCTGGAGAACTCATGTAAAAATTTCCTTAGTTCAGCTAAGTGCAACCAGAGTGTCATCTGCCTAAAATAACATGCCATTTTTTTTTTTTAGGAATAGAGATGAAAAATAACCTCTCACTTGTTACTTGTTGAGGATGTTAAGAGCTTCACATCACTTTCTGCAGCTGTTATGAAGCCACATTATGTTCAGCACCTTCATGTAATGAAACTTGTATTACACTGCTTTGCAGAGGCTGCCAGGAAATTTGTTCCTTTCCACTTTACCATGAGCTGAAGGGAGCTGGCACACATTATGCAGAGCAGCTCGAGAGCAAAGTGGCATCTCGAGGCTGACAGCTTAAATTAAAAAGAAAATTATTGAGGTATTTTCGTGTTTTGACAGCGTGATTTTGATCTGTGGTGTATATATAGAATCCAGCTGGGAGCTTCCATCCTCCCAGCTCCGGACTTGCTGGAGCCAAAGGTTCCCTGCAGCCCAGGGAGGGGAGCAGGGAGGGATGCAGAGAACAAAACGGGCCTTGTGCTGCAAAACCAGCCTAACTGCTCCTCTCTGCTGGCACCTGGCATCTCCCTGCCCTCCCAGAGAGCAGAAAATGCCAACTGGGCAGCACAAAACCCAGGAGGAACCCAGGAAGGAGCACTCAGTGCATTCTCAGAGCAAACAAGCTGAAGATGCTCGACAGAGCTTGTGGGATTTATGGTGCATAATGGAGGGCAATTCATTCTACACAACACTGCTGTGTCCAAGCATAGCACTGAGAAAAACTTGTTATCAATAATACATATATATAAAAATATATATATATACTGTCATCACTTGGAGTTACAAGGCTCCACTGTAAATTTCCAGCTTTATTTCAAATTATGTGGAGTGAAAAGATTATTCTGATATATGGTCAGGCTGAGAGTTCTCTGCTAAAAAATACTGCTGCTAAGGGCTTGCATATATGACACAGATGGATGGGACCAAAGTGAAGTACTGCAATCATAAATAACAGAAACAGAAGCAATCTTCTCTATTAGCTGATCCAGAAAGAAGAAAAGCCATTGCAGAGCCCACACATCACTCAGCCATATGTCTGAAGAGCTCCACAATCACAAGCATTCCAAAGAACAAGGGGTAAAAAATATCGAGATAAAAATCACATGCTTTACAACTGAGAACTATTAGAAAAGGTCAAGAGATTTATTTTTTTTTAAATCACTTGTAAACTCCCACTTTTGGAAGAAAAAGAACAGAGTAGGTGAGCCTTTCCACTAGCTATAAATAGCTCTACTACACCACAGTATTTATTTATTCAGTTAAACAAATTCAGCTGCAAACCTAAAGGGTGGAGAGAATGTATTTGCCAGAGTCCAACTGAACAGCCAGCTACCATCTACAGAGAAATCACGGAGGTTTTTCAAGTCATCTTTGACTCTTTTTGTAATCATACCATTATTAAGGTTGGAAAAGAGCTCCAGGACCATCAAGTCCAGCCTTGGAACAAATATCACCATGCCCACTGACCAGTGGTCAGGACTGATGTCCCAACTCAAACGGATAACATTTAACCAGTGTAAAAATCACATTTTTTCCTGTCTAAACCAACCCCAAAGCTGTGGCTCCACTGCCGTGGCATTACTGGGTGCCTCACAACAACAGGCTCATAATTTGTTTCCAGGTTTCAAGCATTGATTATTCCACAGAGTTGCAGTAGAAAAATCATAAAGAAAGGCTTTATAAAATCAGGGCTGCTCTCCTAAAATCAGTGGCTGGCCTTGTCAAGCTGGCACTTTGCAAGTTCCCATCTGAAAGCAATCCTGGTGTGAGCAGTTCATTAACATGACAATCTATTCCTGGGTGAAAAACAACCAGCACCTGTATAAACTGTTTTTGCACTGTTAGATGGAAAAATAAAAACTATCTCTGACAAACAACTTTTCCTGTACACACCAGGGGTTTGAGTGACCAATCAATAAATACAGGGTAACAACTTGTTACTAATCAGTAAAGTAATTGGCAAGAAAGCTGCTGACCAATTGGAGTCACAGACAAGGTCTGTAAACTGGACAAAAATGAGTTATGTGAATAAAGAATGGGCTTTTTCCACCATGAGGAAAATAGAGTTCAGCATTATTTATTCCCATACCAGAGTAAGCAGCATTGGAGGTCTCATGGGCAGCAAGAGGGAAATAATTCTGTGTACACTCTATTTGTTGTTGGGTTCCTGATTTGGGGCTTTTAACAACTGATCCTGAACTGGGCCAAGGAGCTCCCACAGAAGTTCAGTAAGAACAAAACCCTCTCTGGTTACTCCCAGAGGGCT